AAATAACAAAATAGCTCCTTCTCTTCATAGGTCAGAGTAGTGGTTTTGGAATACTTGAAGTCTTCTGAAACATGGAGAGGAATTTAAGATTTTCTATGGAGTTATTTTTCATTGTTGTTCACTCAAAATTTTATATGGATATTGATTTGCTAGTTTTTTAATTACTGTTAAAAAACCACACACCATATGCAGAACTCTCCATACATGAATAGTTTTAAAAAAAATTAAGTCTTACCTATCTAAAAATGTTAAATATATCATGCTGATGCTCAGATCTAGAACATTCTCATTATAGGTACTTTATCTTTTTTACAGCCAGCATCAGATATTAACAGCAAAATGTCTGTTGATGACAGAGGAGGTGCTAGCATCTTAGGGGCATTTCTGTGATGTGTAATCTTAGTCTTTTGGATTGGAATTGGGTGAGTTAACCATGTTTTCATCAATGGAAATACTGCTGCAAGGCTTCAGTTGTAAGCTCTCACTAAGCTAATTGCATCTTCCCACCTTAACATGTAAGAATGTCATTCCCACAGCACAGCAAAAGGGATTACTGTTTATTTCCGGGTAATATTCTGATAACTGGTTGACTTGAACCACTTAGATGGTTCATTTCTTTGGAATTCAGTAGGTACTGAATTACAGTAGGATGTAAGAATGCCTTGTTGTGTTGTGGTGGGGGGAAAACAGTTTTTCCCCTGAAGCTATAAAATGGTAAACCCCCAGGGGGTGGTGACCCTTGAGGTTTGAACCAATGAGCACTCCTCCAAAATATAAACATATCACTCAGACCGGAAAAGAAAGGGGTTGTAGTTGCTGTAGTTGAAGAAGAGTAGCCATGTTGTAGAGCCATGAGGAGCAGGGGCAGGAGCCCCTTGGGGGCTCTGGCCACCCCCCCCCAGCCCTCAGCTGGGAGGCTATAGGGACTTGGAACAGTGTTAAAACTGGGCTGAGTATCTGTAGCTAAGAAGCTGAAAGTTTCTCCACTGTAAACAGCAGCAAATGGAGTAGCGGCAGATCAGCACTGACCAAGGAGAAGTGGCAGAGAGCCAAGGAGATAAGAAGAAGCATCAGAGCATTGCAGCCAAGGAAAGAAGATACAGAGATCTCTAACGGAGAGAGGCAGAGCGGGACTAAGCTCTACAGAGAGAGAGAGTTTGGGTAAGAACTGAACCAAAACCCCAAACTCCTTTGAGATCCCTCCTAAAATGGAGGGGGTGGACTCCTACTGAATGGAAGTCCTAAAGTGCAGCAGCACTGCTGAAAGAGGAGCTAAGAAGCTCAGGTGTCCTGGAAAGCTGGACCAGGACGGCTGATGGAATGTGTGTGGGGGGGTGACCTTGGGCCCCCTCTCGCTGCAGCTACAAGGAAGCTAGCAGCCTGAGATCAGAGCCAGAAGCTCTGCAAAGGGGGCTTGAATCCCCCGAAGATATGGACCGTTACGAAGGCTTCTGCACTTCGTTGATATGACCGTGGTGAAGCGACCTTTGTCTGGGTGAACACAGCCCATGGAAGAGGAAGACCCTTGCTTGGAGACGAAGGGCCGAGGGGCTTGGAGACCCCCTCGTGTGTACTGGTAGAGATCCAGCTACAGTTGCTGCATGGAAGAGAGAAGGAGAAACTGCTGCCCTAGAGACACTGCTGCTCTGAGAGTAGAAAGGATCTCTTCCTTCTTCCCTCCTGGACTTTTATTTGGAGGAAGAAGAGATTTGATCCATTGTAAATACTGTTTTGTCATGGTAGAGATAGTTAAGATTGTATATAATGTATTGTAGTATTTATTTTGTACAGTCATTGTAATATAACACTTTCCCCCCATTCTGAGTCTTGTGTGGTGTCTGGAAAACCCATCTCACACTGGGTTGAGATGTGGGAGGGGGGCTAGAACTAGGGAATTGGATTTTGGGGCTCTCAAACCATGACACCAGCTATAGCAGAAACTTCAGGCAAAGTGCACTAGGTTAGCAAAATGAGCTAGACCATAACCTTTTTTGTTTGTTAATGAAGTGAATGTTTCGTCAGGCTACAGATGAATGTGTGCTCTAATTGTCTTGGCTGGGAGCAAGGAATTCTGGCCTATGTCATGTCTTTAAAAAAATTACTTCAGCATTGTCATAAATTGATTGGAAATATTTTTTCCTCACATTAATCACGGGATGTCAACAAGTATGCAAATGTGAAAATTTAACATATGTCTGCTCGCTGCTTTTACATGGTTTCTCACACCAGTTTAATGAGTAAAAACTGTCTTCTAAAATGTCACTTCAAACCGAAGTCCTTTATTGTCAAAGACCACCTCACTGTTATATTCTGCCCAGATGTTAAATAGTTTATTCATTTGTTCATTTTACACATTTGAAATGTAGCCTGGTTTTTACCTTATTCTAGTCTGATCCTGTAGTTAAAGTTTGTGTATCTGGTATTCCTCCTTGTTACACAGTGTTGCATCTTTTGGGTTGTCTGTGCTGCCTTTCCTCAGAGCATCAGTTTGCATTGATCCTTTTTGCTGTAACACTGTTAAACATTAGTATCTTTCTTTTGATCTCTGTGGTAAATGCATTTATTTCTGATTGAAGTATAACATTGTTAACTTCTGTAAAGACTTCCTGACAGCATAATAACAGGGAGTGGACCAGAGATACAGATCTAATAAGACTCAAACAGGTTGTGTTGTGCCTTCAGTTTCACAGCTGTTCGTGGAAGGTGGTCCCAGCTTTCCTGGCACAGGAGGCAGCCAGTCCCCTTGCTGGCATGAGATTTACCACAGGTGGATCAACTTGGAAGCCTAAAACCCAGCATATTTATTGTTTTACTGAAATCTGTCATGTTTACCCCCCGCCCCAATTAAACATCGTTTCATTTCACTGCCAGTGTGTTTACCCCAAAAGGTAATAGGGCATATCAAAGAGTTGGAGATGTTACAGTTATCATAACAGTTAATTTGCACATTCCGTATGTTTAAGTCAAAGTTTTAGGTCTGTCTTTTTTGCAGTGTTAAAGTATCTTGGATTTTTGGACCAGAGATGATGGGAACAGGGTGGGGGTGTTGAGCTGGGCTGGAGCTTTTCTGTGTTTCGCAGGTAGCCTCCAGAGGCCCTGAGGTGAAAGTCACAAATCTCTCTGGGTATTGCAGTCTTGTGCTGTCAGTTTTGGGCATTGTGATGCCGTATTTGCTAAAGCTTTCAATGCATGGCAGACCTGTGGAGGTGGTGAAAACCCCTGGAATAAACTCCAGGGTTTTGTGCTGTTTTGCTTTCATTTGCGAAGCAGAAAGGATATGATCACATAAATCCTTTTATCTGGACTTCAGGCTTCATGCTTTGATAAGAAGAAAAAAGGGAGTCTCATAAGACAAAGAGGTGCTTTAAAGCATTATTGGGTATTCAGGATGTCTTGGCTGTAGCAGAAAAGCACTTCCTCTCTGCCTGTTATGTCTGTCTTAGATTTCATCTACAACCATTTATTGCTTAAGATTTGGATGACGATCGAACTGTGAAGAATCAAGTCAACTTCTAAAAGATCCTCTCTCCCCACGGTACTCACAGAGTGCAAACTACAACCAGTCATGTTTGAATATATATATATTTAAGGAAAAAAGTACGTTTTTACTTTTGAAGTTGGACAGAGAGTAATGTGTATGTGTGTATTGCATGTACAAAGTATAAACAAAAAACAAAAATAATTTTTATGGAATGCCTCTCCGAGATTTTAAAATTTCACACTTAGTAGGTCACTTCAAGAACTACTGCTCTATCAGTGCCACGATGACAGTGATCACTTCTAACATTGAAGTTTTGAACTGTAACAGGAAGACACATACTCTCCCTCTCTGCTCTGTGTAGTTAACTGCAAGTTTTCGAATATGATAACTAAGAATGTTTCAAATAAAAATAGCCTTGTATCAGTAAGTGCACGCAAGTACATTTTACTTATTAAAAGCAGTTCAGCTACTAAAGGACACTCCCTCTCCCTCTTCCTCCTCTTTTTCTTCTTCCTCTTCTTCCTCTTCCTCCTCTTCTTCTTCCCTTTCCCTTTTTCCCTTTTCCCTCTTCCTCCTGAAATGTTTTTCTAGACCGTTTCCAATCATTATTATTAAATCATTCTTTTACACAGTGGTTCATTTTGAAAGACTTAAGCGCACAGACAGATGGGAGCCCCTCTAGAGAATCAGAGGAATAGAAAGTGTTGCTTCTTTGGTTTTCTGATTTAAATCTTGCCTACATGACCTGTATCAATTGGATCTGGTTGCTGTTCCTGCTCCACAGTTCCTGGGCTGCTGCACAGGCCTTCCCAGCCCAGGCCGTGCTGGTTGGTCGTTCAGGGAAAGAGTTGTTTTACAGCAGTGAGATCCTTATTCCAGCTCTTTGTCTTTCCTTGGAGATGTGTCTGGAAATGGCTCTTTGGGGACCTCCTTTGGGAGCTGTAATAGTTGTTTGTAGCTCTGTTGTCATCAGAGCACAAGTCTGAATGAATCTGAAAGCCTGTTTGCACTTTGCTCGAGAGGCGCAGTGGTACTGCATTGATGCTGGGATTGCTTTTCCTGATGTAGCCTGAGGTTTGTGTGTTCTTTGGATAAACACAGGCTATTTTTCAGGTGTGCTAACAGCTTGACATGTTCCACATGTAAACAAATTTGCTCTGGAAAAATAATCAGTGTTGCTGTATGAATATCTTGTATTTACAGTAAGCATGCTCATAGAGAGCAGCAGTAGGTCAGTTGATAGCTCACTGGGCACTTGTCCAAGTATCATAAAAAATGTTGACATTAAGTAATTTGGGGGTCTAATAATACTTAATTAACTACTATTTAAACACCTCTGGTCAGATTGACCTACACGTCTAGTTTAAAACTTCTGGTACAGGTGATAGATTTGACACGTTCAGTACATTGTGGGCTGTGGGAGGTAGTGGGGTGCAACTTGTGATAATCCTTTGTCTCTAAAGAAGAGGAGCAAACAAAAGCACAGCACTAAATGTTGTCCTTTCTGTTTGTTTTTCAGATTAGCACTGTACGTATATGAATATCTGCTCCATGTAGGAGCACAGAAATCCGCCCAGACGTTTTTGTCAGAGGTACGTTTCCTTGCACGACTTCCCAGTGAGATAAACTCGATTGGGTCTAGAACAACAGCAGCGAGAACCTTGAATACCAGTTTGCCTCGTCCAGCACAGGTTTCTCATTGTGTGGAAGCCAGTTTGCTGTGTTATTTTACATGACTTTGTGTAAATGCTTTTGCTGTGGTTTGTTATCCCCATTCCATATCAAGGAAAGATTAATCTATTTTCTCTAATAAATGTGCACATGAGAGAACACATCAATGGTACTCTCTTTTTATGACCTTTCAACTTACTATTGATATATCCAATTGTGAATGATGGGTCCTTCCAAAATACACCACCATAATGTATTTTGAATTCTACTGTCACACACTATCAGTTCTCCTCTTGAGCATCTCTCTGTGCCCTTACCATGCTTTTAACCACTTCACTTCTTTTCATCTGTTGAATCATTGTTGCCTACAACCATTTAGGTCCTGTTTTTTTAAACATTTTCAACCGCTAATGGAATTTTTACCTTTACACAATAGTTATTTTTTTTCACAGTCTTTCAAAGGCTTTGTATGCATCTTTTGAAGGTTGAAGTAAATTATGTCTCCTTACCATTTTACATTTGACCTAGGATATAAATGTGTGCCAAACATTGAGGTCTTTTGGATTTATTGTTGTTTTTAATCTTTCTTTGACAGGAATATTTAAGATAATAATAATAAAAGTTGAATAGTGAGCAGAAGTCATGAAAAATAGGCAACATGTTGTACTAGGAAAATTTGCTGATTCAGCTGATCCTCCTCCAAAAGCTAATAAAATTACTATGCTGGTGCTGACATTTTGGAGGTTGAAGAGGGGAGGATGAGAATCTGGAGCGTTGTTTGTGATGCTTATACAAAATTCATGTAGCAGAGAGAAGGAAAAGGAGTAGAATTGTGGTAGTATCAGTTTGAGTTTATAGTAAAGTATATTTTTGACAATTTTTTTTCTCTTTGGTAAAGCAGTGGAAAAATAAGAGAGAAAATAATGTATCATTTTGGCTTTCCCAAAGCAGCCGCCATTTATAAATACTACACTGCACAAGATAAATTTTGCTCATTTTGTTTTTATGATGTATTTGCAAAATGAACACTTGGCAGAAGTGTAACTGGTATGACATTTGGATTTCTAGAATACATTAAATACAGGGTCTTGAAACATAGCTTTTAAAACTAATTCAGTCGACTTACAAAGAAACTCTCAGGTCTGAACAACGTAATATGAGGATATAACAAATCTTTCAAATTAAAACTGGTACTATCCAAGAGTTAGCAAACGTGGGTCAGGGATAATTAATAGTGTATAGAGTTGGTGTGAGCTGTGAGTTTATTTACCTGACTAATTAGCAGTGCAAAAGGGTAAATATGGTGCTGACAATACTTATGAGTGGTTGTGTGGCTGTTAGGACTCAGTGCCCTCTCTGCTCTGTCATTTTGGGTGGATTTCATTAAAGATTAAATGGTTCAGAGTAGCTCCCAACTGAATGTATACAGCAGTCAGTAGTATGTATATATGTATAAATGGCAAAGGTTGGGAGCCCTTCCTTAAAGAACTTCCAGGCAGTGTGGCTCAGAGTCATGGAACCAAATTAAAGGAAAATTTAAGTTGGGTATCATGGAATCCACTCTGATACTGGATAACTTAGAGATAGTTGTCCTGAGCATCCCTATATTTTTGTAATGCTTTGTGTATACTTTGAATTATGTATGTTTCCCTGGAAGATCTGATCGTTCTCCCATGTATTTTCTATCCTGGAAGTTAGATTCTAGCCTTGGAGGAATAATTCCATTAGCCTGGACCAGGAGGGTGGGCATTTCCCGGTTAATCATTCCCTGGCTATGAGCTTAACTGATACAGATGACAATGAGGGATTTTTTTTCTAAGATTAATAATTCTTTGTAAGTCTCTGTGATCAGACTGACATCTACTATGTGAGGCAAGTGTGTGAATGTTTTGAAAAAACAAAACAAAAATCCTTGAAAAGAGCCCCAAACTTCCACATTCCCTTCAGGCTTCCTCTCCAAATGAATTTCTCAAGGTGAAATATGGCCTAGGACATAAGAGGAATTGGGTAATTTCCTCACTAAGCCCTGCTTTGAAGAGCACAAATACAGTTTAGGCATAGGGAGGGTGTCCTACAGACAAAATTTTTACTCTTAACTGAATGATTTTTCAACTTCAGAACCCCCTTTTCCCTTTGATTGTGCAGTGCATCTCTTCATGATGTTATTTTGGAACTTCTCAGAGGTACTGTGCATTTCAGATTATTAATATAAGTCTTTCCAAACAATTCCCAGTGCACATGAGGAGCAGTCGTGCCTCAGAGAAGTGTTTTTGAAGAATGTGTAATACCTTTGTAGTAGCTTTGGCCTTTATCTTAAATTTTTATTATTTTTTTCAGCCAGCAGTTAAGCAGGAGCTTTTTGAATTTTTTTTATATAGTAGCTGCTGACGTGTGTTCTGCCACCTTATCAACACAAGTGGTAGTGCCTCAAGGTTATCTTCTAAAAACAATTTAAAACAGCAAAATTGTTTTTGAATATTCTATTCATGTAATATATCAAAATTACATTGGGTTTCTTCATGTAAGTCTGAGATTTTCTATATGGATTTTCATATGAGTGCCAACAATATTTTTAGGTGTATGAACAACATATTGTTCTGCAATCTATTGACAGAACTTGTATGTGTTTAAATTTCTCAAGAAATCAAATTGAAGTTGAGAATCAAAGTTTTAGTTTTCTTTGGAAAGTTATAATATTAAGCTTTTATGTACTTTTACATGTATGTATCTTTAAGTATCTATCATATTAAGGCTGTTTAAGCATTTAATTAAAATAACCCTCCTTTTGTCTGCCATTACTTCTGTCCCTAGAGAAGAATATGGTTTGTTTTTTTAACAATTTTTTTTTTTTTTAACAAAATTGGCCAGGAAATAATGCTGTGTGTCCTTGTAACTGGAGGAATTTGGAGTGCACACAGTGCCCCAGTTTTCACCCAGTTCTGACAGACATTCTTCTGGACAGTGCTATGTGGGCTGTGTTATAGCACAAACTACTTAATTTTGGATTTAAGGACAAGTTAATGACTGGCGTTAATAAGATTGTGTTATTATAGTTTAGATACAGTATTTGGGAAGTATTGCAGAACACAGTCACTGTGATTTATGTTGTCTGATGGGTTCACTGATCAACAGCAGAAGTGTGAAGTCAAGAGTTAAGAGTTGTTAAACTGCATTTCCTTTGAAAACAGTGCTAAACAAACCAGGTTTCCTGGGTGGGAATGAAGTCACAGCCAGTATAGGCATTCAGGAGAGCTTGCCAGCACAGAAAACCAAGCCAAAAGAGCTTTGCATTTTCACTGAGTGATGGGAGCCTGGGTTGTAACTGTGATGCTGCTAGTAATTTCCAGATTGCCTCTGACTAAAGCACTCCTTGAGGATTATAAAACACTGGCTGGCTGTGGCTGTGGGGGGAACACTGCCACCTGCTGAATCCTTAGCACGAGTTCTGCGCAAATTGCAAAATATTTGAGATTTTAAGGGTATGTTATAATCAGGTTTTTTTTGGTCATGCGTGTTTTACCTTAAAATAACACACATTGTATTCAGAAGCCCCTCCCCCCCAAAAAATCTAAAATATGCTTCCCTAGCATGAAAAAAGCTAATTTCAAGTATCAGCTATATCTATAGGTGTAATAAAATAATATGGCCATTCAGATTGATGATCATAAAGCCTTTCATAACTGTGAAATCTTGTTTATCCTTTTGATACCTGAATTATGTAGTGCATTTTAGTCACAAGGATCACAAAAATGTACACCTCTGTTTTTATTGTTTTATTTTAGATAAGATGGGAAAAAAACATCACACTGGGGGAGCCCCCAGGATTCTTGCATTCTTGGTGGTGGTAAGTACCAATTTTCTTCTCTGATGTTTTAGGATATGTTGAATGCTGGTTCCAGCAGCTGGAGGCAAGAAATTCAGGTGAACATAGTAAAAGGAATGGGAGGATGAGAATTAAGAACCATTTTCTTGTTAAGGAATGAAATAACAGAGAATTAGATATAGAAAAAGATACTGATATTAGATACAGAAAAAAAAGAAATACTGCCTGTGTACTGTTAAAAAAGTATCTTCCGGAGAAAGTGGCCTGCATTTCTTTCTTTACCTTCCAGAAAATTTTGCAATTAAAAATTACTCTGCGTATCCTAAATAATTGCATTTGGGAAAAAAAACCCCAATATACAGAACCTCTGTGTGGCTGTGAACTTTCTCAGCCTACAGTCCACATTTGTGTGTGTAGAATTCTCACAGTCACTGCTGTATAGCCATGGCATTTATTCATTGTCACATTTGAATATATCCAATATGCCTGTGTTTGAAAGAATACAAAATTGCAGAGAACAGGTCCAGCTGTCAGCAATACAAGAATTTACAAGTTTTAAAATGGTCCCATTTGAACCCAACTGATCTGTACAGTTGCATGGAAGGTGGCATATTTTTCACTGACCATTCTTTCATAGCTTTTAGCTGTGTGATGGAAGCCTAGCAAGAAGAACGTGTCCTTTTTATCTCTCATTTCTGCGTTATCCCTAATTCTGATGGTCTGCAGTAGAGTACTCAAATTGTCCACAAGGCCCTGGACTAACTTATAAAAGATTATAACTTTATAGGATTATAAAGTTGGTGCTGGAGTAAGTTATAAAGCATTAAGTCTAAACCATTAAAAAACTACTATGACAAATTTTATTATTTTAATTATTCTAACACGCATACAGTTTCATTCCAGAAACTTTGTGTTATATCTGATTTGTGTATAACTCTGAAGAGGTTTGGGGGGAAGACCAATGGGAGTAGGTACCTTAATTTCCTTTCTTTATGACTCAAGAACATGCCCATCTATTTTCTACACTTGTCCATACACCAGATTCTCTGGGAACTTTTGTTTAAGGACTATATTGGACATTTGCCCAGAGAAGCTGTGGCTACCTCATCCCTGGAAGTGTCCAAGGCCGGGTTGGATTGGGCTTGGAGCAACCTGGGATAGTGGAAGGTATCCCTCATGGCATGGGGTGGGACTGGATGGACTTTAAAGTCCCTTCCAACCCAAACCATTCTGGGATTCTGTGAACCTTGACATTGGAAGGACTCCCATCTCTCTCTCCAGTTTCTTTCCTTTCCATGTTATTACAAATCCATCTTTGTGGAAGTTAATTGGAGCAGTTGCCAGAGGGATGAGGTTAAATACAAACTAATACACATTATACTCTTAAGCCGTATATATTGGACTACATTTTTGGTCTGTACTACAGTGGTATTAAAGGAATAGCGCTGCTTGCATCAGAGATCAGACAGCAGGACTTGATTCCTCACAAGTGTTTTACAAAGCTAAATTCTTCCTCAGAGGTGTTTTCATCCCTTGGAGAGAAAGTAATGTGTCTGTTTCTACACAGGGACATGCACGTGGGGGAGGTGTGTATACCATAGAATCTACATGAGCATTACAGTGACATTGTCACCCTCTCTGTAACTTCTTGCAGTGTATTTTGGGATCTATACTGTGCAGCTCCAGAAAGACGAGAAACATGTGAACACTCAAGTGAAGCAAAAGCCTTCCATGACTATGTAAGTTTTGTGTCTTTACCACGTTTTTGTTAGTTGCATGTGATAAAATGTGATGGAGCACAACACGAGTAACTCCTGGAAGCCATCTCAGAGATCAAGATGCTGTCCCAGGTGTTAATGCAGAATAAAGAATGTCCTTCTGTACATGGACACATCAGGCTGGTCACAAAGGCAAATGGAAGCATGGATGTGACTGTCCAAATACCCATTTAGCTCCGCCAGTGCTAAAGGAAAGGCTGTTCAGCAGTTAGAATTGATCACCTGGCTTCTGCCAGGACCCCACAGCCTGAGAGTGTGGTTGTTCAGATATTTTTGTATCCTGGAGTAAGTCTTTCTCATCCTAATAAACAATTTAGCATCACAGAATTCGTTAAATGCAAAATCATCTGATCCAAGAGAACGGGAGTATTAAAGGGCAGAAGTTTTATGCCAGTTTTGCTGCCTTTGAGACTTAATTCAAAACACAGCGGGAAGTTCAGTGGTGTTTTGAGGGAGAATAAATCTCACAGTAGAACTGTGAAACCTCTCTCCTTGAGTCTTTACCAGGTCTGTCTTAGAAATACTGTCTAGTTACTGCTGAAATACTTTTCTACAGATAAAATTGAAAACCGACTACCACAACCCAATGTCTTACAAACACAGATTTGCAACAACAGGAATGAATCAGCCAAGTGACCATTTTCTGTTGTAATGGCTTGGTGTCTTACAGTTATGTGAACTAATGGTGATCTTGCCTTCTTTGTAGTAAACAACAGCTTATATTGTAAATGCACCACAGATAGATCTGTTCAGCATATTTTACCAATGCCTCTTTAACACCCTGTACTTGGTTAAATTTTGAGGGTAACTGGTAAAGGAGCTTGAACAGTGTTGCACAGTCAGATCCGGGCTACATTGATCACTAGACATAATTAATGGAAAAAAAAAAGGTATCAGAGAGAGGAACAAAGTTTCAAGAAGGTTTTGCACCCACAGAGATGTTAAGGTCAGCCAATTCTGTGAAACACATTCCTCAAATTGGAAATGAAGTAACTCTTGCAAGTACAATTGCTGTAATCATTTTTACTTGATTTGTTTTAAATATAAAGTTATTGGAAAAATAAAATATTTAGCAGTATATTTTGAATCCTTGTTTCGTTCCCCACAAGGAGCAATAATTTTACAGGAATACTTTAAGACTCTGGGAAAATAACAGTAGAGATTTAAATTTGGGAAGATCAGAATCCACAGTGCAACAGTTGACTTGAGTGGGGGACATCATGCTCTCAAAAGATACTTTTTTTAACAAAAGCCAAAAATCCAAAACCTGTAAATGTTATGAAACAATTGTGAAACAGAATGATCAGCAAGAGGAAATTTTCATTGAGAAAGTACTTGTAAGTCTAAAGAGGAGGGGAGTCCGCAAATCTTTAAACTCACGAGACTTTCACTGATCAGTAAGTTCACTATTGAATCTAAATTTTGAGGTGTACTAAGCTTTTGAGTAAGTGAATCAAAATAGTGTAAAATTAAAAAAAGTTGTCTTATCATCACCCTTTATGGTTTCTAACTTATACAGGTCTTGGACTATTACATGGCTTTACTACTCAGTTCTGTTGCATTATGATGTGTATTATCATGGTTCAAGAGGAGTGAGAAAATACGAGTTCTGTGTGTGATACAATTTCGAGATTGTCTGAATGTTTAAGTTACTGTCTAAAGTCATGCTTGGTGAAGAAAAGATAAAATCATGGCATCATTCTATATGCACATCTGGACAGGATGTGTGCTTATTTTAGAAACAATTCAGTTTATTTCAGAAATTAATTCACCAGTTATTTCTAAAACCCGTTCTCTCAGTCTTTTAAGGTGGCAGGAAAAGCTTTGCATTATTTTTGTCACAGTTGAGATAAACTCATTTAACATCTTGCAAGACTCCTGGTGTTCCTAAGCATCACCTGTTTTTTGCTTAGCAGGACAATCTGCATTATGATATTTGTGTCCACTATTTTGTGAGTGTGTTGTATGGTCATGTTAAAGAACATGAAAAATCATTATAAAATACGGCCAGACAAATTTCACAGCAGAGGAAGATGAACAGGATTAAGTGCAATCCTGACCCATGTAGTGTTTTGCCACTGCCTTCAGAGTGGTCAAAACTCCACCATCAGTGAAGACCCATTAGGAAGCTGCTTGTTGGGTTCAGGCTTCTCCACGAGGCCAAGGGGTCTGGTAAATCAAAACCCTGCTAGTCACGTTGCAGGTCAAGTAGAGCATTTGTAGCGGTGCTGTCATATCTGAAGGCTGTAATTGTAAGTACAAAACAGCACAGAAGGTTTGTTTATTAATTCATATGAGCAATTCAGAATTTTTTATTAGGCATGTGTTCCACTTGATCTAAGAAAAATCATTCCTGCTGAAGGAGTGTATGGTCTGGGTGCACCAGACATGTCATCTCTAGCACTGAGTGGGCTGTGTTAGCTGAGGGAATGATCTTGTCTGTCTTTGCCTTTGTGGAGACAGAAAGGTTTGAGGATGTTTGATGGAGGAGGAAATCACTTATGGATGATTTAATGGTTTGTGAAATACTGCTACCTCCGAGTCAGTCAGGAACACACAGGTTGACTCATAGAATGAATAGACACAAAAATGTAGTTTACTTTAGTTTACTTTAAAGTTCTGCAGTATCTCAACTGCAATTGTAAAAATAATGCCTTTTGAGTTCTCCCTCTCCTTCTCAGACAGTGCTTTGTTGCTTGCGGTGCTACAATGCTCATCTTAGTAAAAATGCAATAAATAGAAAAGCAAAGGCCTATTCTGGCTATATAAAGAAGATTTTCTATGCTCATCCCGAGTTTAAGTATTCTCAGCTTCTCTGTATTTGAAGTGGATTATACATTTATTTTCTATTGAGATTTGCTATTGAGTATATTTTGTTCTGAGTGAACAAGTTTCTGAACCCATACGTACATTTATGAAATCTGTTTTAGACTTGAAAAGAGGGATGCATGGATAGGTTCTGCCTGGGAGTTTTAACATATATGACATAGAATTGGAAATGGTTTATGTTTCAGGTCACTCAGGAATGGAAGCTGGTGCTTGCACACCCAGCTTCTAAATATTGCAGGTGTTTCGGTTGGAGTAGCTTTATTTGGAGCAGAAAAATCTCTGTGATTATTTTCCAGGTACTTGTTACTTTTCCTGGAGGAAAACTTCTCTGTGCTTCAAAGTCTTGTGAAAAATCACATACTCTCTGCTCTGAGGCAGAATTTAGTCTTTGCTGTAGAGTTGGTTTGTTTTTCTTCACAGTATCCTAGGAGATATCATCTCTCTAGTTCAGAGCTCGTTTTTCCGGGTTTTGAGATCTTATATTGAGAGAAGAGAGTTCCAATGTGCATCTTCTTCCACTTCTTCCCAAGCTGAAAACTGAGGGAAAAGGGGAAATAAAACATAAACTGAATTTTTAGCAGCACCTCTACTTCAAAAAACCACAAATGACCATTCTCGTCTTCCTCAGGCTCCTCTTCCTCAGGCCTGGCCACTTATTCACATCTCTGGACCTTCAGTTTGAAGGGGTAGTACCTGAAAAGTCCTTTATTACAAGATGATTTCTGTACATAGCAGTTAAGATATTTTTACTGTCCAGAAGTTCCCATGCCTCTCTCACCCTCTTGACAATCAAATATTTTTCTATGTGGCATTGGTGCAAAGAAGGTATTTACTATTTCTCACAAGTAGCTATAGTCAAATCTTGATTATTTTCAGGTAGGGTTTTTACTAGTGTCTTCTCCACAGCTCCTTGAAAGACCACTCTTGGTATGAGCAAGGATCTCTTGTTTGTGTTTATGTCTCCCAAAAAAGTGCCAGGTCATTTATAAGATAAGAAAAAAGAGACATTTATTGCCCCACAGACTGTCGAGTCTCATGAGCTGGTACCACATTTCCATCTGACTTGTTAGCACAGTTTATGGTGAGCTGTGTGACATACAGCTTGGTTTGTGTGAAGGTTGTAGAGCGTATCAAAGACGATGCTATAATCAGTTCTGTCCAGATTATTCCTTTTAAAGGTTATAACTATATAAATCAATCTTTTCTAGAAGTTACTGAGGGTAATGTTTGGACATTTGAGATGGCTGATCAATCTCTTTGTGAGATTTTCTTAAGGAAAGTTGGGTCCTTGCATTTATTGCTATGTTTTATGGGGAGAAAAATGACCACTTTCTTCCCTGGATCCATCTTCCTTTGGCAGATCTAAAAAGCACTTGCATTCCCTAAATGCTCCAACCCCCCTTAATTAGTCATTATCAGTACTCAGAATTGGAGGGGTTATGAATATTTTTATGTCACCGTGAAAAGCCTATGTGACTATTTTCCAACAAGGACTGTTCTTTTTCTAATTTCTTTCAACTGCTGTCTTCCCTCTCTGCCTTTTGCGTGGGCATGGAAGAACTTGTTTTCACTCCTGGTTTTCTTGTCTTCCCCATCTCTTGCTACTCTGTTCTTCTGCAGGCAGCCTAGTTAGGGCAACTTCTGGGTCCTCACAGGTTTCTTGATGAAAATTGAATTCTAGATCTGGTTTCCAGCTGCCAGTTTATGTGAAGAATGCACATTAAACTCCTTCCACTTAAAACAGAAATAAAAAAAAAATCTCTGCTTCGCTCAGGACTGTTGTACCAAAATCAGTGCTGCAGGCCTGAGTTACCTATTAATTCCATACGTGAGTTCCACAGAGATGTGCAAGGTCCTTTACATTTTTAGTGATCATCTCTAAATCTGTAATTTCACCTTCAGAATATGTTCTTTCAACATATGATTCATCCTGCTATGTAGCTATTACCTGTGTCCATGTAGACAGCGGATTATTTCTTAAAAGTAGAAGAAATTAAGTGGCCATGGCATTCTTTTTGGAAGTAATATGAAAATGAAAAGCATTTCCTTCTATACATTCATTGTCAAAATAATATCCTTTGTTTTTTGTGTAAATAACATTCATTTTTAAATAAAATACCTTGCTTTTCTTC